TGACATGTAGTGAGAAGTGAAGTCTGAGGCTCTGCTTTGACTTACAGCTCCACATAGCCCCATTAGGAGCCTCCATTCCTGGGCAGGAGCGAAGGTGAAGGATAGCAGTGACTGGGTAGGGCCAGTCTCTGGGTAATTGGGAGGTTAGGCCATCAAGATTTTTTTTTATTATTATGTTATGTTAGTCACCATATAGTACATCATTAGGTTTTGAGGTAGTGTTCCATGATTCATTGTTTGAGTATAACACCCAGTGCTCCATGCACTACGTGCCCTCTTTAATACCCATCACCAGGCTAACCTCTCCCCCCTCCCCTCTAAAACCCTCAGTCTGTTTCTCGGAGTCCATAGTCTTTCATGGTTCGTCTCCCTCTGATTCCCACCCCCTTCATTTTTCCCTTCCTTCTCCTAATGTCCTCCATGCTATTCCTTATGTTCCACAAATAAGTGAAACCATATGGTAATTGACTTTCTCTGCTTGATTTATTTCACTTAGCATAATCTCCAGATCCATCCATGTTGATGCAAAAGTTGGGTATTCATCCTTTTTGATGGCTGAGTAATATTCCATTGTATATATGGACCACATCTTCTTTATCCGTTCATCTGTTGAAGGGCATCTTGGCTCTTTCCACAGTTTGGCTATTGTGGACATTACTGCTATGAACATTGGGTTGCATATGGCCCTTCTTTTCACTACATCTGTGTCTTTGGGGTAAATACCCAGTAGTGCAATTGCTGGGTCATAGGGTTAGGCTATCAAGATTTTAGAGATTTTTCTAGAACTGCATTGTCCAGTAGAAATATATAATGTGAGTTATATGTATGTTTAAATTTTCTAGTAGCCACATTAAGAGAGAAAAATAGGTGAAATTAATTTTATTAATACATTTTATTTATCCTAACATATTTCAAAATTACTTCTTATTTCAACATATAATTAATATAAAAATTATTGAGATATGTTACATTATTTTTGAGGGGGCACTAAGTCTTTGGAAATATATTCTGGTATATTTTAAACACATCACATCTTAATTCATATGTAAAATTTTCATTGGAAATAGTTAATCAGTTGTTCAGAACGTGCTTGAAAGTTTCCAAAAATTGGCTCAATTGTCAGCTTTCAAATTTGAATTTGAAATGGATTATAATTAAATAAAATCTAAAATTCAGATTTTTGGACAAACAAGTCATATTTCAAGTGCTCATTCACCTGATGTGCCTTGCGGCCACCTCACTGAACAATTTTAGCATGTTGGGGACTCTCCAACAGTTCCTTGTCCTTTCTGACTCCTACAGAAAGCAGGACCAAAGGAACCTTGCAAAGTTAGTCCAGCACCACTTCTTCATTGTGCTAGAGGTCTATAGGGAGAGTAAAGAGGTGATCCAACACAGTCTCCCCATTTTTCCGGTGGTGAGACTGAGTCTCAGAAGGGTTAGATTGTTTAGCTCCAGCCACCTATGGTAGAGAGAGAGCCAGAACCCTCTCCTGCTGGTGCCCAGGCCAGCCCTCCTTGCACCTCTCCCCAAACTAGTCTTTGTCCTTCCCACGGGGCCTCAACAGGTGTGTCATGTAAATACGAGCCCTGACTCAGGACGGATGAGAATGAGCTCTCCCCTTGCCTGGCTGGGCTCCTGAATATTCTGCCCACCCAAGGTTGGTTGCCCTTGCCGGAGATACGGGATATCTCAAGGCAGCCTCTGACTTCAGGAAACCAAAAGAAGATGGACTTGTGGTGCCCTGTGGAAAGTTCCTCCAGAGGCACCTTTCCTGTGGCAGCAGAGTTGTATATGTTCTAGGCATAAGCTGGCTTCCATCACATGGGTTTGGAGCTGTAGCCAGAGGGGGAATAGTTTGCAGTTGGGAACCCACAGCTGCCCAGCCACAATGGCGCCAGCATTGTTTTCTGCCTCGTAGCTGCCCCTTAACTGGCCTGGGCCCCAGTGAGTTACCCTCATGTGGCATCACAGTTGGGGGACAGGTGCTCATTCAGAACAAGCAGGGGTTTTCTGTGGGGTACTCTGCTGTACACCCTGCAGCTCCAGCTTCCTAGCTGATACAGGGCCTGAGGCCAGCCCTATACTCTGGAAAATTGGGATTATTCTCTCAACTGGTCCAGCAGACACCAGGTTGTACTTGGGGCCAATATATGCCTTCATAATTCAAGAGAAATGGGGGGGAGATTTTTTAAGTATCTTTTTTTCCCTCCTAGCTTATATGCTGGAAACCTTTATTTACATCAGACTTTGTGATAGCTCATTTTTTAGGATATAACTGTGACACTGCAGTGCAGTAGGTCAAGCAAACTACGCAAGCCCACTTCTCTTCTAACTTCTCTTACATGGACCATAAAGCTGAATTTGAATTCTGTACTAGAGCTCCAGCCTTCATGATTTGGCCATGCTGCTTTCCAGAAGGGTTTCTGGAAGACTGGTTATGCAAGTAACATTTCCTGTTTACTCTTTTAGTAATTAATGGCTGATGATGACGGATTGTGACCACAAAAGTGTTCAAATGTCATTTATTTGAACACATTTGTAGCACTACACCTTCCTCGTGGTGTGCCAGACAGTGGTAGCAGTCCCATTTGCACATAAAGCATTCAACCAAGAGTCTCCTCCACTACAGATTATAACTACCTTTGTAGCTAAAAATGATGATCGTTTTGAAAGTGAAGGGTCAAGAGTCTGAAGTTATGGATTCAAGGCTGCTGCTCATGAGAAAGAGTATCATTTAGTGGATGCTTTTTGCCATCCCTTGATGGTTTCATCTACTCATGGTGTCTATTACCCGCTTTGTGTTCACAACTCCCAAATCTGTGCCCCCAGCTGAGACCATGCCCTTGCACTCCAAAGCCCTGTATATATTCAGCTGCCTAGTAGACAACACCAAGCACGTGACTTGCAGATTCCCAAATTCAGCATGTCCAAAATGCCCAACCTACACCTTCTGCAGTATGGCTCTTCCACTAAATGGTCCCACCATCCCCCCCCCCATTGGCTTCTGGTAGAGGGTCATCCTTGATTTTTCCCTCCCTATACGTAACTTCTGGCTTAGAAGGTCCTATAGGATCTGATTCCTGTTTAGCACCCCCAGCCTGCTGTCATGACCATCCGTCTGGATCTTGAGTCAGACAGAAGGTGCCACATTCTCACTCATCTATAGGCTTCCTCCATTCTTGATCTTAACCACTCAAGACCAAAGTCATTTACTGCAGGAGTCCTTCCTGACCACTACTTGCCTAGATCTGGGGAACACCCCGTTCTTTTTCCGTGGCATTCATCACATTGGGTTGTTAACACTTGCCATGGGAGGGCCGGATTCACTGCTGCCTCCCCTGTGCTTAGCACTCTGCCTGATGCACAGTAGGTACTCAGTAAATATTTGTAGAATAATAGTTGACATTGACTGAGAACTTTGTGCCAAGTGCCTTGCTAAGTAGGTTGCCTGCATTATCCCATTTCACAAGAGTAGGATCAGGGAGACCGGCAGGGAGGTAGCGATCGGCAGAGTCCAGAGGGACACCAGCTTGGCTTCAACTAGGCTAAAAGTGGTGGCAAGGAGCAGGCAGATTTAAGGCACATGTGCAGCTAGAGTCAACAGGACTTGGTGAAAGTTTGGTTGAGGGCTTGGGGAGGGAGCAGAAGGAGTAACTGCTGGGTTTTTGCCTGAATAAATGCTGGGCGCTGCTGCTTGTTGCTGAGAAGGAGGACCGTGTATGTGGGTTTGTGGGGGGAATTAGAAGTTCTCTTTGGCATGTGTTAGGTTTGATATGGCCATCAGGTAACCAGGGGGAAATGGTTATATAAATCTGGAATTCTGGACTAAGATCAGACAAGGCCGCAGTTCCTCACTTGGAACTCACTGGGGGACGCCTGGGTGGCTCAGTTGGTTGAGCATCAGACTCTTGATTTCAGCTCAGGTCATGATCTCAGGGTTGTGAGATCGAGACGTGCGTTGGGCTTAGCATGGAACCTGCTTAAAGAGTCTCTCTCCTGGGGCGCCTGGGTGGCTCAGTCGGTTAAGCGTCTGCCTTCGGCTCAGGTCATGATCCCAGGGTCCTGGGTTCGAGTCCTGCATCGGGCTCCCTGCTCAGCGGGGAGCGTGCTGCTCCCTCTCCCACTCCCCCTGCTTGTGTTCCCTCTCTCGCTGTCTCTCGCTCTGTCAAATAAATAAAATCTTTTAAAAAGATTCTCTCTCCTCCCTCTGCCCCTCCCTGCTCCCCTGCTTGGTGTGCTCTCCCTTAAAAAAAAAAAGAACTCACCAGAACTCCATGAGGTAGAATATTGCCAACTGAAGTAGCATGACTTCTCTCTCACATGGAGTGCAAACAGCAGAGCCAGCGTTTGAACCCAGGCGTGTTGACCACAGCACCTCCCTGCCTGCCGCCACACGGTGAATGGGTTTCCAGGGCTAGCTGCTGTCCTCCTCAATTTTCTACAGTGTAAATTTCTCTGTGCCAACTGTACGATTATGCTGTACTTACTGATTTTTAAATGGAATTAGGTATGCTTACAGTCATATAGAAGAACAGAAGAGAAAATGAGCCAAGGAAAGCTGGTGGTCATCCAGTACTGTTGCAGGCTTCCTTTGGCAGCTTCTGGGCGGTTGAATGTCATATAGCAAGACTGTTAATATCTGGTGTTGGCTCTTCTTCTTATAGAAAAGCAGTATTTCAGCTTGAACTACATGAATCAGATTTATCCCTTATAAAAGCACAGATGTGAAAAACAACCAACTCCTTCCCTTTCATTTCACATTGATTTACAGGTTGCATTTGAGTACTCAATTCATAATGGTTTATAAATAAAGAGGTACTGCATTTCTTGTGTTTGACACCTGTAGGAAGGGAACGGCTGTAGCTACAGGCTAAGGCTTGAGCTTTCTTCTAAAGGGGTGTGTGCGTGTGTGTGGGTACACGCTTTCGAAACCACACACACATATTGTATAAATATATGGCGATTGGAAATAACCTTTTTTTCCTATTTTATTTTAGGGATAATGACTCTTCTTGCTCTCGCCTAAGTTGAATAAGCACCTTGTGCACTTTAATCTCCTGTCGTGCCATCAGGCTGACTGAAGACAGTGTTTTGAAATCTCAGCCGTAAAGACATCCCGCCAAAGTCTCAATCTTGCCTTAACCATGTTCCAGAGACTGAATAAAATGTTTGTGGGTGAAGTCAGTACTTCTTCCAACCAAGAACCAGAATTTAGTGAGAAAGAAGATGATGAATGGATTCTTGTTGACTTCATAGGTAAGGTATTCTTAGCTGTTAATCATCACAGCAAAAATGGAAAACCCCGCGTCTCAGTTTTTGCAAAAGTAAACCAGTAACTCTGAAGGTTTTGAAGCCTGAAAAGAATTTGTCTAAAAAAATTGCAGGCAACATCCTGTGCCAGATGATCAGTCAGTGAAATTGATTGACGTCAGATCTTCCAGTTTGGCAACTCTCCTACGCTGTTCAGATCAGATGCCCTTTAATAGGAAATCCTGTGCTAGATGAACAGTGGCCCACATTGCTCATCACGTTTACTCAGCAGGATAGACACAGTCTTCAAAACCATTCCCCAGAGCCACCGTAATCCATCTGATGCAGGGTTACACCACACTACACACACACTGGGTACTCAGAAATCATTTTATAATCATTATGAGGGAATATAAATGGTTCTGTGTCTCACCTAAACGAAAAGAGGAATGTGAACATCAGCTAACAGTATCGTCTCTTCTTTTTCTGTGCCCTGAATTGATACCATCGGGATACTCCTGTTCCCGTGGGACCGCATCAACGAACGTGGACTATGATGTAGACGCTTGCGCTGGTCTCTCAGCAGCGGGAGCCAAAGCCGAAGCCATCAGTGAAGAGTCACGTACTGAGCACCCTCCAGTCTTTTCCTGTTTACCTGCATCTCTTGAGTGCTTGGCTGATACAACTGATTCCTGCTTGCTCCAGTTTGAGTCCTGTCCGATGGAGGAGAGCTGGTTTATCACCCCTCCCCCGTGTTTTACTGCAGGTGGATTAACTACTCTCAAGGTGGAAACCAGTCCTATGGAAAACCTTCTCATTGAACATCCCAGCATGTCTGTCTATGCCGTGCATAGCTCCTGCCCTGGTATTGGTGAGGCCAGCTGTGGGACTGATGAATGTCCTGACCCAAGTAGCCCCAGGTATGTTGTGAGGGCAGTTAACCCTTGAACAACATGGGTTTGAACTGCATGGGTCTACTTATACACAGAATTTTTTCTATAAGCAGAGTACAGGACTGTAAATGTATTTTGTGTTCCTTATGATTTTCTTAATAACGTTTTCTTTTCTCTGGCTTACTTTATTGTAAGAATACAGTAGATAATACCTATAACATGCAAAATATGTGTTATTGATTGTTGATGTTATTGGTAAACTTCCAAATCAACAGGAGGCTCTTAGCAGTTAAGTTTTGGGCGAGTCATAGCTTACACATGGATTTTCAACTGCACAGGGGTTGGGGCCCCTAACCCCTGAATTGTTCAGGGGTTAACTGTATTTTACTCTATCCACAAGCAGTCTGTTTGGCATGCAGTTTATTTATTTCTACTACAAGTCAAAGTTGATTTTTTAGAAGATGGAAAGTAATCTTGTTAGAGATTTATGAAAGCACGTGCATAGTGCACAAGGTAGTGGATGGTATGAAAAAACATGTTCATATTAGCTTTTCAAAAAAATTCATTAGAACATGGCCCCAGTTATATAATGGAGAGCTGTTGGATTTACAGTACTCTGCTAGTGACAGAGAAGAAAAGACGCATTTCTGCTATGTGTCTCAATGTAACTGGCACTTTATACACTGAGTTATTTGGGGTATCAAATTCAACAAGAATCATATATCTTTTTTTTTTTTTTTTTTTTTTTAGAGAGAGCGCGCGAACAGGGAGGGGCAAAGGGAGAAGGAGAGAGAATCTTAAGCAGGCTCCCCGCTCAGCCCAGAGCCCAACGCGGGGCTCGATCTCACAACCCCGAGATCATGACCTGAGCCGAAATCAGGAGTCAGACGCTCAACCGACTGAGCCACCCAGGCGCCCCAAGAGTAGTATATCTTAAAATAAAACTCTTATTTTCTTCCAGGTAGTCTTAGCTGGGTCACATCAAATGGCACTTAACCTCGAAAACTTGACAAATCTTAAACATGAAGCAGAATAGCAATTTTACTGAAATATGTTGCCCAAAGAGTTGTTTCCTGCCTTACAGAGGAAAGATTTCATACCCAAACAATATTTTCCTGTTATGTGGAAGTCCTAATTGGTCTGAAAGGCTCTGTTTGAATGGCAGATAGGCTGAGGGCCTGGAAAGGTTCAGGGCGAGTGCCTGGTCAGTAAAGACTGATATGTTCCGAAGCAAACGTACAGACATTCTATGGCCTTTATCCAGAGAGTATATTCAAGATTGCTTCCACCTGCTAAAATAAAGCCCGTGGCCATGTTAATCAGCCCAACGTCTGGCTATTCACAGTGCTTGTTAGTGGAATGTGCCTATGGCGTTACGGTATTTGGGGGATGCTGTCCCTAATTCCCAAATACCTGTCAGCACTACAGGTGACGTGGACTCTTTGGAGCAGTTCAGAATGTTCCTGTAGTTAGCCCTGTAATCCAAAGGGCCTCTTTTTAGATTATTTGGGCTCTAACTCAACTAACTGGATCATTGTATATATCTTCTGCTATTTCCTGTTTGCCAAATACAAACAAAACCCAGGCAGCTCATTCATTTAAGTTTACCAGAGTTTGCTGCACTCACAACTCTGAATACTGTAAGTAATTTTGTAATCTTCTGTGAGGATGAACATATCCTTTACCAAACTGAGAAACAATTTGCTTATATAGTTACCTGGCTTTATACTGGGTAAGATCTTTGATGGGAAATGTTACTTTAACTGGCGCTTGATTCAGCGCTTTATCGAGAGATCAGTATTTCAGGCATTGCAACAAAAATTTAAAATTTCTTAGACATGGTGTTGACTAAATTGCCTTATAGTTGATTCAAATTAAGTTCTCAGAAATGCTTTCCACTTGATTCCGATCCCCCCTCTGTGGAATTCCACTCAAGAATTTAGCATGATTAATAGTCACTTTAAACATACTGATATTTGTATATTTACTTCTTAGTGTTTAAAGTGTGTGTGTATATGGACAGCAGCTTTGTAAATAACATTATTATTCCAGAAGCAGTACATGTGCACTGCAGAAAATTAGAAAAGGCAAAGAGTAAAAATTTGAAAAGACATTCGCACGACCAAGAGATGAACACTGTTAACCCCCTCGGGCACATCCTTCTAGGTCGTTTTTTTCTCTCTGTGCCCACTGCGTGCACGTGCATGAGTGAGCACACACACGCACGCGCACACACACGAACACGCAAACACATTCTTAACCCAAATGGGATCAAGCTGTATATACTGTTTTATAACCTGCTTCTTTAGGCAATGATGTGTACTTTTTTCTTCTCAGTAAAATTTCACTTCATCTACTACCCACACCATACTCCGCTTTCTGCACTAGAGTCCAGAATATTTCACCTCATTTGTCCAAACCAGCATCTAGTCCAAGACCATGCTCTGCATCTGGTTATGTGTTTGCAGTTTTGATGCAGTCAGAATGATCATTTTTTTTCTATCTGGTTTGTTTTTATATCTTGTTCTCTGTTTTGGTATAACATATAGGAAAGTTAAACAAATATGTACTTTTCCATATAGATAGGATCAAAAGAACACACTTCACTTTCTATGAATTCCTTGTGAACATAGGAAAGTACTGCAAATTATCACAGTTTTATAATAACTAAAAAATTTTTAGCATCTTTATTTCTGGATTTCAAATTCTTAAAAAAAAAAAAAACCACTAAACCAAGATAGATCAGGTGTTACCAAAATTAGGATAGCTATTTAGTAAATATCTGTATTTTCTGAGTAGGAAATAAATGATGTCTTTAAAAGTTAGATAGCTTCCATCCTGTCTATCCTTGGGGATATTACCATAAAGCATGTAAGAGGAGGGTGTTTCATAATTTCAGATGGGCTTCAGAGAGTGTTTTATTATATTTTGGCCTTTGTAAGTATTGTTTATGAGGTTTATGTGCTATCATAATCTTAAATAATACATGTGCCTTTAATGACCCATAGTAAACCAGTTTTAATTACAGAAAATGCACCATGTCCTAACAGTAAAATTAAATAGCATTTTAAATCTTACTAGTGATTTAATAGTTCACCATTTAACATTTGTAGGGCCAGGAAAAGCTGCTTATAAGACTCACGGGCACAGAGTAAGTATATTCCCTTTGAGACTGTGTAATATGTGTTATCAGTCTGATCAGGAAGACTAAGGACTCAAAATGCCCACCTTTTAAAAACTGCTACTGTCTTTATATTAACTTCTCTCTATCAGCTTCTTAATGTGACCCCTTTTAATTCTATTTTTTAAAAAATCTTAAAAAAAGTGTTTTCCTCTAGTGATTACAGATACAATCTATAACTGCCCTTGTTGTATAAAATAACCCTCTTAAAACTCCTCATGTCATGTGTTTATATAGCTTATATCTATCCTATTAGATAGCTTTTAATGTAGAAAACATAGAATAATGATGTGGTTTGTAGCCATATTTTAAGATGTGTTCTCCACAGGTCTTTGTGACATTACTATGCAAAGGCCATCCCAAAATGTGCCCTGTTGTGAAATCAATTAAAAACTTAGAGTTGTCTTTTATAATAAACAGGTAGCTTTTTATCCAGAAAAATGCTAAATGAATAGAATTTTCTTATGCATATTTCTTTTAAATATAGATTTAAAGCTGGTTTCCTGGAACATTTACTTATAGACAGAAAATGTGTGTGAAGGTGCAGTTAGCGTAATGCATCAGTATCAACCGTGCTTCCTAACCACAGTCTTTGGAGTAAAACCTGTATTAGAATCTTGGTTGCGTGAGGTAGTAATTGTGACCTTCACATCACTGAGCCTTAGCTTTCTGAGCAGTAAAATTTGGCAATTAGAATATTGTCCTTTTAAGATTATGGTGAGAATTAAATACATTAGATTTGCAAAACAGTTGGCAAATACAGGTATTCAATAAAGTTAGTCCCCCTCACAGAAAAGCTTATCTAAATGCCCTTTGCTGCATAATTGAAATTCACTCAAAATGTTAAAGCACTTTTTAGAAAAATGCAGTCTACCTAATTAACCATCTGTGGATTATATGTCATATCTCTATGAAAAATGGGCTGCTCCTTTCTATCATTATCAGTCAGTGTGGTCACGAAATACAAACTTGTCTGTCAGCCATGAGACACTAAGCTCTCATTCAGCCATAAACAAGTTAGTGTGGCAAATTGAATCACTAAGTACCTTTTTCAAGTTCATTAATAACACACTCTGTTACTTAATACATCCCCGTGTTTTTCCGTTTCAGGGTGGAGTCTCAGGATGAAATGGGGCAGCACATCCATTGCTACGTTGCAGCTCTTGCAGCTCATACAGCTTTTCTGGAACAACCGAAGAGCTTTCGCCCTTCCCAGTGGATAAAAGAACATAGTGAAAGACAGTCTTTGAACAGAAGTAGCCTTCGTCGCCAAAATCTTACCAGGGATTGCCACTCTAGGCAAGTCAAGCACAATGGCTGGGCTGTCCATCAGCCCTGCCCCCGTCAGTACAATTACTAAGAATTTCAAGATTGGTTGGATTCTCTTGGTTTGTGCATATGTGTGTGGACGTGTGTGGACGGACAGTGAAGATGCTGTTTCTTTACAGCCAATTGATGACCAATCACATAGTTTTATCGATGTGTTTAGACACTATCTTGAAAACCAGATTTACATGCTGTGTATCACATAATGCCTTGCTTTTAACATTTACGTTTTTGTAAATTTTTTTCAGAGTATTTTTGGAAACATATCAATACAGTTACAGTGTTTGGTGTTTGGGGATGTCTTTAAATCTATTAAGGTGTATAGCATTCTAAAGACATTTCTTCCCAAGTATGAGAATAGGCATCTTTCAATTTCATTTTATTTTGTATTACTTAATCAATATTTTGAGTAAGCAAAAATTTATTCTCAGGGTCGGCCATACACTTTATTGACCAGTACTTGATAATCTTTTCTGTATATAACGAATACATTTTTACACACTAACATGAGCATTAACAGGTGATAGTTGCCATGGATACAATGGAATTATGGCTGAACTTTCTCTTGAAAGAAAACTTGATATATTTCTGTGTGTATAGGTTTGGTTTTTTGTTTGTTTGGTTTTTGTTTGTTTGGTTTTTTTTTTTTCCAGATTAGCCATGCAGTTCATTTTGGAATTCAGGTACATATTAAGTGTTAGCGAACAGTGCATTCAGTAATGCCGACGTGAGTGTGTGACGTGGTACAGAGACATTGCAAGTATCGTGGGACAAAAGCACTCGTTTCCCACGCAGAGGGATTCAATTAGATCTGTGAAATTGTATTTGGAAAAATGTATGTCTACAACTAACCCGTTAGTCCACTGTTTAACGTGTTTGGAGTCTTTCCTGTCAGCTGTCAACTCAGAAGTACTCGTCCGGGCACTTTAGTGACTTCTTATTGGTGACTGTCCAAGGCAAAAGAGGTAGGCTTCGTATGGCTGATACGGTGTTCCGTCCTCTGCCGTGGGGCCTGTCCTGCCGGTGGCAGGCAAGGCTGAGGAGGGACTCCTGGTGATGTCTTTTCCCAGCATCTAAATGAAGAGTGACAGGTTGGCTCCCTTGAGTTTCCTTTTTTTGTTTTTTTTTTTAGCTGGGGCTTCAGGCAGAATCTTTAACCACTTTGGCCTCTGTTTCCTCCACCAGCGGGGGAGTAGTAATATTTACCTCCCTCACAGTTGTCGTGAGGACTGTGTACTGATGGGAAGGGGGCTGTCCAGAGCCGAACCTGGTGTGAAATTCCAAGGGCCTCACTACTGAATCTGATGATGGGGATGGGGCCTGCGGCAGCTTTTCTGCCACAACTGTTCTTCAGAGTGTTGGTGCTAATGAGGCCAGGGTTCAAGGCTCAAGTCACACAGAGGCCAGTTAACACAGAGAAAAATCTATTTCGTACCTCCAGCTGGTCACTTTATTTTTTAGCAGTTGTGATGGGTTTTGCTGAGCCATCCACATTCACCGGGTCCTTCTCTAACTAAATTAAACATACACAATCCAAAGCACATTCTACTGACAGAACAGTAGTATCCCCTTTGTAATCAAATAGCTTATTTTTCCATCTCCTCTGCAACCCTAATTAAATAAATACATGTCTATATAAGGTTTTCAAGGGAAAAAGCCTATAGTTATGTGAAGTATTATATTTTTCAGTAACCCTGTAACAGCTCGGTGCAGGGAACTATGGGAGATTTTTTTTTTTTTTTTTTTTTTTTTTAATGAAGAGCTGTGCTCTTTTCTGCCTAGACGGGGATGTTTGGAGTCAGAGGAGGTCAAATAGCATCGTGAGATGGTGGTAGTAGGTTGTTCTTCCACTGGCCGTGATGAAGTGCCAGGAATGTCTCTTTAGAACAAAAGTCTACATCCCCCTTCTTTCCTCATTCCCTTTACTACCCCTTTATTTATTTGTTTTCTAATTAGGGGCCAAGTCTGTAAAGTTTTGTCAAACTGAGCTAGAAGTTATTTTGTTACTATTTGTGTTTACGAGAGTTGAGAGGTTAAGGTAGAGTTTTCATGAAGGTGTGTATGTTTTACACCATATCTGTTATGGGCCATATGTTGGTAACTTGAAAATAGACCAGCTAAATGTTTTCTGGATGTAAGCCTCTCAATACATGGGGGTCTCTTTTTTCATATATTACATGCAAGTTGTTAGTACCTCACAAACTACCGAAGTTCAGCCATGAGAATTTGTTTGGCAGCATGAACAGATTCGTATAGAAAATAGCAATGGTCTTTTTTTTTACTCTTATTTTTTCAAATTTCCTGATACCTGAAATACATTTACATCTCTCTCCGTTATTGACTTTTTGTTTGCCTTATATCTAGACCAGTTTTTTATGGTTTATACCTGGAAAGCAAACACTTTCAGTCTTGGGGATGTTTTCTTAGGCTAACCATGCCATCTGTCTATCAGACTGTGGTTTCTGTATCAATATCTAAGGTTTCTGCCTGAAATTGGCACATGTTAGAACTGAAGAAAGTGGTTACACAATTCATTCTTGATCATTAGATGTTTGTTAGGCATCTACTGTGTGCAAGACACAAGACCAATAACAGAATGATGTTGACCTGTTAAGTATTCTTTGAAACATGGCCAAAATGCAATTTATTATAAGTTTATTATTTCTGCTGTTGTAAATATTAGTGGTTTACATTGGGCTTTCGTGCATATTTCTTAAAGCTTCAAGAAGGCAGTGAGAAATCAGACCCCTCTGAATTTAGTGCTCTGACAGCTTCCAGACTGATATATAGAATGTTACTTGGAAAAAGTCTGGAATATGTGGTGCACACAAGCAGTGCTTCAGGAATGAGCTTAGTTTTTAAAAATGCACCATGTTCCTCAAAGTTTGTGTTTTTGTTAATAAAACATTTTATAATGTGTTTTCTATGTTTATTACTTTTTCTTTCTCAACTAATTATGTATTGCACTGTAAGTTGAACATGAACCATCCATTATTTATCTTCTGTGGCAATGCATTTATATGGTTGGGTGGGTGGGGAATTTTTTGCAGAAGGTGCACAGTGATTGGATTTTTGACTTTCTACTCCAGCGAGCTTTCTCTACATTAATTTCCTGTACAATTTCCCAGTTCCCAGGCGGGCTGTTCCTGCTGACATACCTTCTCTGTTGTGTCAGTACTTTGATTCTAGTGAGAAGACAGTTGACTTAAAACTTGAATGGGCCGTTCAGCATCGCCTGTTGATTTTACTTCTCCAATCTGTGTAGTACACTGGTTTGTCATCTTTACATCTTCATTGAATCTGCGTGTCTTTGCTATTTCTGTTCCTCCTCAAGGAAAGATACTGTCTTTCTATACTCTTAGTAGAAAGGAGCAAAAAATATCTTATCGTCATTTTCTTTGAATTGGAAACAAAAGAAAGCAGAAAAAGAAAAAAGAAAGAAAAGAAAATGAAGGATTCCAACTGGAAGATAGGCATTTAAGTTTAAATAGATTAGTGGAGCAAGTTTAAGAGTTTCCAGGTATTTTTGTTTTTAGAATCGGTAAAAAGACCGCTCCTTGTATGGAGATACTAGCATGTGTTTGTAATGTTACCTTAAAATTATCTTTTATTTTATAAGGCCCATTCATACTGGTTAAATTCTCTTAAAAGTTGGGCTACCCTCTCAGATGGCTTCACTGCCATCAGCCATGTTGATGCATTATAACTGGCATCCTTATCTACTTATTTTAATGCTTACAATTTTATATGAAATGCTCTATTTAGAAAACCTACCTAATACAGTGGTGTCAGCCTTGCCATGTACCAATTTCACTTGAAATACGACACCAATTACAGTGGTTTAGGGCGGAGAAAGAGGTACTAGAAAGCATACAGAGAAGGACATGGTTTCCTATTTGCAACAGTATCCTTTATGTGGGAGGGGACGTTACTGTTCAAAGGAAGGCAGCTTAAGTGGATGTTTTGTGTATCATTTAGAATTTTCCTTACAACATATTTTTTAATTGTATAATTATTAAATGCCCCATTTAGCTCTGTATTTGCCTGAAGTTTTAATATTTGTTTTCTAGGTGGACTTCTAAAAACCAAATCAGGACTTGGGGAGTTCGATGTGTGTGTATCCAAGCTTGATGTGTATGAGTGGTTTTGCTTGCTTTTTGGTTGTTTTCCTCCAGAGGTTTGGAACTTTAATCAATAACTGTGTGTGTTATTTTTTTTAAGTGGCTTGGGTTTGTTTCTCAAGTATAATTGTGAACACATTGGCTTTTCCAGGGCAGGGCATCAGTTACGGAGCCTGGAGAGGATGGTGGATTGTACTATGTGCCTTCTTGATGTATTTCTGGACACACATTTTTTTCAACTTGAAAACTCAAAAGGGACATTTGGTTAGATTATATACTGTACATCATCTATGCATAAATGGCAGCTTGTTTTCTTGAGCCACTGTCTAAATTGTTTTTCTGTTTTTATAGAAATTTTTATACTGATTGGTTTATAGAGGGTCAGTTTTATACACAGACTAAACAATATAGCACTTTGCCAAAAATAAGTGTAGCATTGCTTAAACATTGTGTATTAATACCAAGTCTTTGTATCTGGGTTCAGTGGTGCATTTTGCACTACTTGAGTTGTGGTTTTTAATCTGTCAATAAATAAAATATTCTTCAACTTCACATTCGTCAGATTCTCTTATTTTATCTTTATGGCCACAGTCTTAAAACTAGATACAACTTAAATTATTTGCTGGTTAGTAGTTTTACTTGCCCAAAAGGTGTGTTTAATATGCACTTTAAATATTGTTTTTGGGGCACCTGGGTGGCTCAGTCATTAGGCGTCTGCCTTTGGCTCAGGTCATGGTCCCAGGGTTCTGGGATCGAGCCCCACATCAGGCTCCCTGCTCAGTGGGAAGCCTGCTTCTCCCTCTCCCACTCCCCCCACTTGTGTTCCCTCTCTCGCTGTGTCTCTGTCAAATAAATAAATAAAATCTTTTAAAAAGAATATTTTTAAAATTTGTATAAAATTTGGGGCGCCTGGGTGGCTCAGTCGTTAAGCGTCTGCCTTCGGCTCAGGTCATGATCCCAGGGTCCTGGGATCAAGCCCCGCATCGGGCTCCCTGCTCTGTAGGAAGCCTGCTTCTCCCTCTCCCACTCCCCTTGCTTGTGTTCCCTCTCTCGCTGTGTCTGTCAAATAAATAAATAAAATCTTTAAAAAAATAAAATAAAATTTGTATAAAATTAGTATGTTTAAATTTTTCACCTGAAATGAATAATCATTTAAGTGAACATGAATTTGAGGATGACTCCCAGCGAGTACCTTTTCCCTCCAACCTATATGTGTTAAACAAATACAGAATTTAATACACCAGTTCTTAGCCTCTTTAAAAAAAAAAAAAAAATATTAGAGCGAGCATGAGCAGGGGGCAGGGAGAGAAGGAGAGGGAGAAGCAGACTCCCCATTGAGCAGGGAGCCTGACTTGGGGCTCAATCCCAGGACTCCCAAGATCATGACCTAAGCCGAAGTCAGACACTTAACCAACTGAGCCACCCAGGTGCCCCTGGTTCTTAGCCTTTTTAAAGCTAGGTTGCTGAATTCTCAATGGCTCTTTCCCAGATAAATACCTACACAATCTTATATAAACATTTTAGGGCAATATGGACATTTCTGATGTCCACCAGTACCCTTATTGTGGAGCTCTAGTTTAATTAGGCCAGCAAACATTCAGAGAGCCCAAAGAATATCTCCCATGTTAATGAATCCTTGGGGAAGATCTGCATTCTAGAACTAGACTATTTCAATACAGATTTTTATCCTCTCTCAGACTCCCTGCTGAGATGTAAAGACTGAGGATAGGCGTGAGGAGGGGTCACCCTAAAGATGGGAAGAGCATCTTGAAATGAAAGCGCGTACTTGGAATAGCAGGTGAATGGTCACTGTTGAGAAGGGTTTACCAGGCCTACTTACAAGGTAAAGGGGTGGCTGAGGGAATCTAGCCTAATTAAACTAGAGCTGAGGGAATCTAGCAGCTCCATCACATCTCAAGGGCAGTGACTGCATAGAGTCTAAAAGTAGGTAAGTCAGGGGGCGCCTGGGTGGCTCAGTTGGTTGGGCTCCCTGCTCTTCTGCCCCTCACCCTGCTCATGCTCTCTCTCTCTCATAAATAGAATCTTTAAAAAAAAATTAAAGAAAAATAAACGGTAAGTCAGAAATGAAACTGTTTTGTAGGGATGGGCATGTTAAAGTTTCAGTTTGACGTGTGGCTTCAGATTATCCAGCTCCTTTGTTTGAATTTGTACTGGCCAGAAGGTTATTTGTTGCAGCATTCTCTGTAAATGCAACCTAAAACCACCTAAATGCTTATACAGAGGAGAATGATTGAAAATATTATGGCACATCCACAAATAGAGGTCTATGCACATTAATCTGAAAAAAAAAAAAAGAGGATGAGCTCTGTGAACTGATCTAGAATGATTTCTCAGACTCTTAAGTGGAAAAAAAAGCAAAGTGCAAAAGAGTACACTAAGCTACCCTTCATGTAAGAAAGAATGTAAGAAAACACACATTTGAGGGTGCCTGGATGGCTCAGTTAAGCATCTGCCTTTGGCTCAGGTCATGATCCTGGGGTCCTGGGATCAAGCCCTGCATTGGGCTCCCTGCTCAGCGGGGAGTCAGCTTCTGACTCTTCCTCTGTCCCTCCCCCTGCTCTTGTTCTCTCTCTCTCTCAAATAAAATAAAATCTTTTAAAACTATGGAAGAGCCTAGGTGTCCATTGACAGGTGAATGGATAAAGAAGATGTGGTATATATATGCAATGGAATATTACTCAGCCATCAAAAAAAAATGAATTCTTACCATTTGCAATGACATGGATGGAACTTATGCTAAGCGAAGTAAGTCAATCAGAGAGATAATTATATGATTTCACTTGTGGAATTTAAGAAACAATGCTTAAATGATACTTAAATACCTAAAACAATACTTAATTATTTCTCCCTCTGCCCCTCACCCTGCTCATGCTCTCTCTCTCTCTCTTAAATACTTAGGGGAAGGGAGGGAAAAATAAAATAAGATGAAATCAAAGAGGGAGACAAACCATAAGAGACTCTTAACTCCAGGGAACAAACTGAGGGTTGCTGGAGGGGAGGGGGGAGGGGGATGGGGTCACTGAGTGATGGACATTAAGGAGGGCACTTGATGTAATGAGTATTGGGGGTTATATGCAACCGATAAATCACTAAACTCTACCCCTGGAACTAATAATACAGTATATGTTAGTTAATTGAATTTAAATAAAAAATTTTTTAAAATCTTAAAAAAGAAAACACATTTGTGCAAAATACTGGAGGAATAAACCTGACACTACAGAGACTGGTCACCTACAGAAGACGGGTAAAAAAGAGTTGGACCAAAGGGAGGAATTGGAGCAGATTCGTGAGGATCAGGGGGTGCCTCATTTCTCTGGGCATCCCTGTTTGCACAGCTCTGACTCTTAGAACCATAGAAATGCTTCCAGCACCCCCAATAAAAAGTGAAAATCAATCAATTAATTGAACAAATAGCAATTGAACTTAACTGTTAGAGATGAGTATATAACCACAGTGGAAGGAAAGAGGAAGGAAAGAACTAAGTCAACTGGGAGTCAGCATTTCCACAGGTCATGGAAAGGGAGGACACAACCTCACAAGCACACTGCTCTAATCAGTGAATCTGTTTCTCACAGACGTAGCAGTTAGCAATTCTGCGTCTACCAGGACTGAACCGTCAAGGTCTGATGGAAACCGAGAGCCAGCTTTCTCACAGTACGTGCTGGACACGCCCTCAGGTGACCCCTGTAAGTCACAGCTTCTACCACCAACCCCTGCCCCTTCAGGGAGGGCCGAACCTGTTACTCCTTCTCACCGATAGAATATGACGAAGGTGAGGGGATGTTGCTCCCAGGTTAGGTTGCATTCTATGGCGAAGGTAGGGATTTTGCAGACGTAATCACAGTCTTAATCAGTTGCTCTTAAGATCAAAAAGACATTCTCCCGGGTGGGGCTGACCAATCAGGCAAACCTTTTGAAAGAGTCTAGAGGTCATGGACTTGAAGGAGCAGAGACTCTCTTTCCATTGCTGGATTTGAAAAAGCCAGATGCTATGAATTCTACAGTTACCAAAAAATCCATCTGCTAGTGACCCAGGGAGCATGGGGGGGCAGATCCTTCCTCAGGCCTGTACCACCACTCTGCCACATAGCTCTTTCTCCCACTTTACCTGCTTCGAGTTACTAGAAACATTCAGGCTGCCACCCTCTTTCTTCTCAGCCACCCTCCCCTCATTCAGCCGAGACCCCCTTCTGTACAATTTGCCCATCCTGATGATCGCATGCTCAGCTGAATCTCTTATCTTTCCAACATGCCTGCTCTGCTAATCTCCAACCTCATGTCAACCTCAGTCTAGGACTTTGTTTCTACACTTGAGCTGCCTAAGAGCCACTGGAGGATATCACACAGGTGTGGGGATCGGAGCCATGAGACAGTTCGGGTACAGAAGCTCAAGTGCCACTCTTCAGCCATCCTTCTGTGTGACCCTGGTCAACTCCGTGCACTCTCCCTTCTCTGCTCTCCTCAAGCCTTTAAGTCCAGGGCTATCAAACTTTAAACTGCAAACGAATCACGTGGGAAACCTTAGTAAGAATGCAGATTCTGTGGGGCACCTGGGTGGCTCAGTCAGTTGGGAGTCCAACTCCTGATTTCGGCTCAGGTATGATCTCAGGGTCATGAGATCAAGCCCCACATCAGGCTCACTCATGCCCAGCATGGAGCCTGCTGGAGATTCTCTCTCCCTCTCCCTCTGTCCCTCTCCTTCACCCCCACCTCCGCTTGTGCACACACATGGGCTTGCACACCCGCTCTCTCTCTAAAAAAAAAATAATAATAATGCAGACTTTGATCCAGTAGGTCTAGTGTGGGGCCAGAGATTCTGCATTTCTAATAAGCTCCCAAGTGATATCCATGCTGTGAGCTCATGGGACACATTTTGAGTAGCAAAGCTCTAGTCCATGGGCGCCTGGGTGGCTCAGTTGGTTAAGCGACTGCCTTCGGCTCAGGTCATGATCCTGGAGTCCCTGGATCAAGTCCCATATCGGGCTCCTTGCTCAGCAGGGGGTCTGCTTCTCCCTCTGACCCTCCCCCCTCTCATGTGCTCTCTCTCTCTCTCATTCTCTCTCTTAAATAAATAAATAAAATCTTTAAAAAAAAAAAAAAGCTCTAGTCCAACAGTTCTCAAACTTGAGTGAGCCTCAGAATTACCTGGAGGGTTCTGCAGCCACTCTGGAAAACAATATGGAGGTTCCTCAAAAAGTTAAAAATAAAATTACTCTACAGTCCTTGGAATTGGACTACTAAGTATTTAAGAAAAGGATACAAAAATACTAATTTGAAGGGATACATGCACCCCAAAGTTTATAGCAGCATTATCAACAATAGCCAAGTTATGGAGAGAGCCCAAATGTCCATCGACTGATGAATGGATAAAGATGTGGTGTATATATATACAATGGAATATCACTCAGCCATCAAAAAGAATGAAATCTTGCCTTTTGCAATGACACAGATGGAACTAGAGAGTGTTATGCTAAGTGAAATAAGTCAGTCAGAGAAAGATAGATACCATATGTGGAATTTAAGAAACCAATGAACACAGGGGGAGAAAAGAGGAAAACCAAGAAACGGACTATAGAGAACAAACTGAGGGTTGCTAGAAGGGAGGTGGGGGGGGCTAAATGGGTGATGGGGATTAAGGAGAGCACTTGTGATGAGCACGGGGTATTGTGTAAGTGATGAATCACTAAATTCTACACCTGAAATTAATATTACACCGTATGTTAACTAACTGGAATTTAAATTAAAACTTGGAGAAAAAAAAAAGAATTACCTAGAGGGCTTGTTCAAACACAAATCACTGGGTCCCACCTCCAAAATGTCTAATTAATGGAGGATAGCAGGAAGAAAGGCAGGCAGGGGCAAGGGGCGCCCTGTCCTAAGAGCAAGCTACTCTTTTTTTTTTTTTTTAAGATTCTATTTATTTATTTGACAGAGAGAGAGACAGTGAGAGAGGGAACACAAGCAGGGGGAGTGGGAAAGGGAGAAGCAGGCTTCCAGCTGAGCAGGGAGCCCGATGCGGGGCTCGATCCCAGGACCCTGAGATCATGACCTGAGCCCAGGGCAGTCGCTTAACCAACTGAGCCACCCAGGTGCCCCAAGAGCAAACTACTCTTAAAAGAAAAAAGCCCCCATCCTGTTATTCTACACCACCTTGAAAGGAGCCCTCCACCTTTTCCCACGTGAATAACTCCCTGAAAGGAAGACGAGCTCGTGGACAAAAACCTGATGGGGTGACAGGTGCAGGGAGGGTTAATCAGATGAAAACAATGGCCAACAAGCCCATAAAAACCCCTAGACTTAGAAACTCCCACAGCAACCCTCTTGGCCCCCCTCCCTCTTCTGGAGCTTCCTCATACTGCTCAAAAAACTTTGTTTTCCTGCCCACCATTCTCTGTCTGGTCTACCTCTTCATTCTTCCAAGTAGTGTGACCAAGAACCGCGGGCACTAAAGGAAAAGAAATGCCAAAATATAATCAGTAACTCTGGGGTGGAGCCCAATTCTATGACTTCCAGTAATCTCCCAGGTGTGGCTGCCGCTGTTGGTCCAGGGACCCCACTTTGATACCACCCCCGTAGCCCACAGCCGGCCTTATCCCTCAGCAGACGACTGTCTCCTCTGACAGAGGCAGCTGAGGCCGACGAGTGAGAAGCCCGCGTGCGCCCCGGGGCAGCCTCCTCTTACTGCGGCAGCCTGCGCGGGACTGAGGGATGTTGTTAAGAGGAAGAATGCACCTGTTATCAGGGAAAGCATCGAGGGAAGCAGAAATGCACTGTTTTGCGGACATTCTGTAACCATTTTCCTTCTGACAAGAGCATCCCGATTTTCTTCTAGGGACCTACTCTTCCTCCCGCCGTGATCCACTTTAGTTACCGACGGCACCAATTACTCCCAGCTCCGGTGGAAAGCGCATGAATCAGGCCTGGCTAGCAGAAATGCGCCACAGCGGTGGGTGAGCCCGGGGATAGGACTGTGACCCCATCAAGGCGAATGAGATGCATCTGAGGCTCTTTCTGGGCCTGCAGAGAGCGAGCCTGAGACCCATTTCCACCTGACTTCAGTCAAGCAGCACCTGAACCTGGAACTACAGCAGTGACTTCAGCCCACAAAGGGGGGAGAGGGGGGCTAGCAGAGGCAGGGCCGGGCGTGCAGGAGGTAAAGAAGGGAAGGAGAGACAGCCCTGCCTAGTGATGATGCCTTGATCAAGCTCAACCCTTGGACTATTGTGTTAGGTGAGCTAAGATTTCTCTTTTTGCTTAAACTGGTTTGGGTTGGGCTCCCTTAATGCCCTGTTGGCTTCCAGGAGAGCGCTCGAAGGGCTTTTCCGTTAGCCTCGCCAGCAAGGATTAAGGCGGGTATGCTGGAGAGGAGGAAGGGTGAGTGCTGTGCGTGTGGAGATTGGGCCAGGGTGTGGCTGAGACCTGGAGCAGGGACACGGATCAAAGAGCTTTGTTTATGAGGCTCAGGCCTCGCTGCGTGAGGCACTGCCAGGGGGGACTGCTGTGGGCTGCTTGCTGGCTGCGCACGCCAGCCCTGGAGGTGCCAGCTGTCTTGGGGCCGGGGAGCTGGGAGGCTGGGAGTGACAGCAAGCCCCCAGCCGGCCCCCTCCTCTCCTGGAGCACCTGCTGGCCACTCCAGTGACGGCTGCCCTTGGCTTTCTTGCGGGCCGGTCAGAGGGGTGCGTGGAGCTCACTCAGTATGATTTGTAATGTCCTAACATCCGGTGCGATGTGGTCCAAAATTTGTATCGGCTGCCCTTGTTTAAATCTGCTTTTCCAACCAAGTAGTCTATTCCCTCTGAATTTTCTATACTTTGCATTCCCCTCACTGTGGAAACTTCCATCTTTAAGGGGCATGTTTATTCTCACTTTAACACCTGCGATACCCACACGTGTCTTACACACTCCATGGCATGTCCTAGTGTGACAGTGTTTGTTCTTTCTTAGTGACATATACAACGGGCTTTCTTACAACTGGTGGCATCTTAGATGCGATGAGGGACGACAGAGCTGTCTTTCCCTCTCTGGGCCGCATGCTGCAGCACTCCCAGCACTGCTTCACTTCGGGGCTCGAGGCCCTTGGCCATGGGTGGTGGTCCCTCACGGGAGCATCAGTGCCTGGCACACAGTAGACCCTCAACATCGGACCTTGCCTCACGTTTTCATTTGAAATGGGGACAATTAAGATGCATCCTTCTTACTTGGCTGCCTCCTCTAAACTTGAAGTGTGACCCACCCAAGTCAATAAGGCTACAGGAAATTCTATATCAAAAAAAAATTATATATATATATATATATACACATATATATATATATATATATATATATATATATATATATCCCATGGTTTCTCCCTGAATCAGCTCTAGTTTATTTAGAAACTTTTGGTCCAAGCGTAGATTCTCAATGTCTCTGTCATATTTTATTTTATTTATTTTTAAATTCACTGCTCTATTTTTAGACTTTGTTGCTAACTTGATTTGTTTATAATGTTGATTGTGGATAACGAATTCAGGTAGGACAAACCTTCTGGAACTCAGAACGGCTGCGGAAGTAGAACAGTGGCCAGTCAGAGGGGGCCTTGTGGCCTGGGAAGAGGGGACCTCATTCTCTGGAGGGCTTACAGGAGCCTCTCTGTCACTGGGATAGACTAAGGATAGCCAAAAGCGGGGGTAGACTCAAACCCATGAATTCCTGGTCTCTCTGAAAATGATGGAGCAAATCATGGGGACTGCACAAAATGAATGACATTCCAAAGTATTTGATTTCTTACTTGAGAATACATCACAATCAGTAATTATGGGGCACATTTAATTAAGGAGTGAACTAATAGCCATTTTAAAATGCTTTTTATCAAATAATAACACTGGTGTCTCTAGTGGGGTGATAATTTATTTTCAAGTTCTATAAGCTAAAAACCATGTATTCAAAGGAATAGGAATCAAAGGGATTCCTAAAAGAAGTGAGGGATTTATTTCCTCTAGAAGATGAAGAAAAATTAACTTTTTTTTTTTTGCTGTTGAATGATTTGCCTAAAGAGAATGTGTCCCGAAGTTGCTTCAATACACCCTGGCCTGATGGTTTTATATAAAATTTAACATTAAACTAAATTAAAATTAGTCTCCTCTGCAGATGGAAGGAATGAAAAGGGAGATGGATATTATCAGTTGCTCAGCATTTACTGAACACTTCGCCAGGGCAAAATGTGGAGAATGAATCAGAGAGGAGGGCGTTGGGGGGTCCTGTCACAGAACTGATGTGCGTGATAGAGGTGGGGGTGCAGAGGACAGAAAAAGGAGATTTTGAGTTTGCACAAGACTGAGGATAGAAAAAGAATCCACTCTAGTCTATGGACTTCCATGTGGGGCGTTCTTAACGACGAATTATAGGAATAAAATTATCCATGTCAAAGAAACATTTGACAACTATATTCAAAAGTAGGTCATAATAGGGGCACCTGGGGAACTCAGTCGGTTAAGTGTCCAACTCGATCTCAGCTCAGGTCTCGATTTCGGGGTCATGAGTTCAAGCCCCACTTTGGGCCCCATGCTGGGCATGGAAACTACATTAAAAAAAAAAAAAAAGTCCTAGTACAAAAATCAATGAAGTGATATTTTATACAGATATCTCATAGTCTAAAAATAGCCTCTAGAGAAGTTTATGAAGGTGAAAAATGGGTTAGTAATTAAAGAACTGACCAGGCTTTATCTGTGATAAAGCCTCTAGAATAACAGTAATAGAGGCAGATGTGGTTGCTTCAACGGACAGCTTATGTCTTGGCCAGCCTCCCAGGACCTACCCTGTCACCACTGCCTCCGAAACCCTGAGGGGCCCAGGCCAGGGTTCCCTGCTTCAAACCAAGCCCGGGCCCCGGGGGACACGAAGAGCAGTAGCTTCTCCCCGATGGGCCTGCTTCGTGCTGATAGCCCCAGTCAGGAAGGGAGTCCAACCAGTGAGGTCCGAGCACGTAGAAGCTCTTGAGTTCTGCAGTATCTTTTCTGGGGAGGAAGAAAAAAAAAAAAAGATTATAAATATCTATCGAGAAATCCAAGGCAAGTTAGAAAACCTTGGAACTAAAGAAAAAAGAAACAAAGAGAAAGTTTTGCTGATCCTAAAGCATTTGACCAAAAAAGCGTCTGACATCATGGGCTAGAGAATGTCCATCTGCAGCCCCCGAGGTCTACAGAAATCCGTGGGGGACTGTTAGCACAGGGAGGCTGCTCTTAATATCTTGTACTTCAGGGGCAGATATGAGGAAAAGATTGATGTATATTCTTAAAGGAAAATGAATAAACTTAAGAATTATTTCTTGTCTACCTTGTTATAAAACTGGATTGGTAAACCATTCACCCGTGAGGTTATAATGTTTAGGGGAAGATTTGACAGAGAGTGGATGACATTACTTCTATGTTCCAACTGAAATTTTTGCCCTATTTTTTAATAGAATTTGTACATTTTTTTTTAAGATTTTATTTATTTATTTGACAGAGAAAGACACAGCGAGAGAGGAAACACAAGAGGAGGAGTGGGAGAGGGAGAAGCAGGCTTCCCGCGGAGCAGGGAGCCCGATGCGGGGCTCGATCCCAGGACCCTGAGATCATGACCTGAGCTGAAGGCAGACGCTTAATGACTGAGCCACCCAGGTGCTCCTAGAATTTATACATTTATCAACGTTTTCTAAAATCTCTATAGTGTTGACACACTAAATTGCTTCTTAGAGATTCTTTGTGCTTGCATTTGGTGGTTTTTTGTTTTTGTTTTTGTTTTTTTGCATTTTCTATTTTAAAACCAGTTTGGGAGTTGCCATTGCCAATATATTGACTAGTAATTCAACCATCTTGTCATTACACAAAAATAATCCATTTCAGACCCAAAGCTTTATATATTTTATTGTCAATTTTGACAGAGCTTACTTTTACTTCTCTCTCTTGTTGCTGTTTTTTAAAGATCTTATTATTTATTTGAGAGAGAGAGAGAGCGAGAGAACATGAGTGGGGTGAAGGGCAGAGGGAGAAGCAGGCTCCCCGATGAGCAAGGAGCCCAATGCAGGACTCGATCCCAGGACCCCAAGATCATGACCTGAACCGAAGGCAGATGCTTAACCGACTGAGCCACCCAGGCGCCCCTCTCGGTTGTTACATTGGAGGAAAATACACTAGTCTGGCCGCTGGGAGATGTGGGTTCTGGTTGCATCCCACAGCAGCGCCTGTATTGTAGTTGAAGTTCCAGGAAGTGTGTGAAAGTACCCAGAGGATGTAAGGCTAATGCCGAGATGTTAGTAAATGCCTCCAGCACTCTCAAAGGAGGATGCTCTGGCGTGGGTAGAAGCCAGAGGACTGCAATCCTCAGATGATTAATTTTTACTATAGGAACTTCTAAGTTGATACTACATGTCCAGTGATCTGTCTTCTGCGTTTATTCTTTGTGGCTGTTCTTGTTTTTCAATCGGCAGTGTAAACTGAACTGAAATTGGGCCTACTCTGTAGTCATTCCTTTAACTGTAAATACTAAATAAACCCAAGTGGCTGTGCAGGATGACAGCTGGGACATAAAAGGGACTGGGCCATTTAGGAGGCAGGGCACTGGCCTTTCCCCTCAGACGGGTGGGCTGGTGGACAACAGCTCCATTAAGGAAGTCTCTCGTTGTTGGGTGGTACTGATCGCAGGGGACAAGGGTCCGGCTTGCCTCTGTTGTCTGTCGTGCTAGGGACCACCTCAGCTGCAGTGCTGAATTGCTATTGAGAAACCAGACAGAAAAGCCTTGCATCCGGCTCAAAGAAATTGCCCGAGGCTTTATCTCGTCTCCTTTCTCTACCATCCTGCTACTTCGCCCAGCTACTCCGTGACCTTCAAACGAGGCATGCTTTCATGCCTCACTGCCTCAGTTGTATACCCCATTTCTGCTTACATTCCGCGAACCAGAGCTCGGTCCGCGGCCTCGCCTAGCCCGGTCCGCGGCCTCGCCTAGCCGCAAGGGAGAAGGGGAAACCTCGCCTTCATTGCAGCTGAACTAGGAGGTCTGTTATGGACCCAGGGGGCGAGCACAGGTGTCAGGGGACTGGGATCCCCCGCAGTCCCTTCCACGCACTCACATCCCACTCATCCTACAAGGTCTCGTTTGGCTGTCACTTCTGATAGGTCTTCCTGCTCCTTCCCTAATTCTTCCGGGCAAACTCTTCATCACTCATTGCTCTCAAGTCCCCCTTTTACTTCTGCTTGCTTTTTGCCTTAATATGACATGATCTGTGTTATTTCAGGTCTTCTTCTCAGTTTTAAGCCCTGAACCATGGGCACCTATGGCTCACCTCTGTAGGTGGGAGTGTACATGTTACTCACTTTTGTACTTCGAAGGGCCATACACTGATGTCTGTTTGCAGAGCCTGAGACCTATGTGGAAGTTTGCAGCATAATACCCTTGGGCTTCTGGTAAAACTAGTAAAAGTCATCTGTGCTATTTTCAATATGTATTTAAACTACGTTATAAAGCCAATAAGTTTTACATATAAGCTGAATTAGTGTGCCAGTCCAAATGATTCTTTCTACAAATGACATCATTTCAGTGTGATGAGGCTGGTGACTCATGGCAGTCAGAACCCTTGTTTGGGGTCTCTGGTTAAAATAAAATAAAATAAAGGGAGTTCCTGTCCTAGGTGCTCAGGAAGCATTTCTTCATACAGCAGGAAACTGATATTTCTTCCACTGCATAAAAAATTCTCTACAAAAAAAATGAGGTCCACAACTCCTTATCTGAAATTCTGATCTGAAAAGCCCTTAAAACCAAAAGTTATCCCATAAGTTTGACACCAAAACTTATTTTGCAGCAAAACGGGCTTGAACTGACCAAAGACTCAGCTGTCACAACACCCCTCTCAAAATATCTGCTGAGTGCTGGTATTTTGTGGCCTTTTTTTTTTGTTCTTTTGTAACCATGAAAACATCAACGTCAAAGATCCCCTTCTGGTAATAGAAGAAAAAAAGAAGCATCTCTCATTAACAGTACAGCACAGAGAGTAAAGTCCTTACAGAAGCTCAGTCCTGGTACATTTGTGAGGTATTTTACTAAAGATTATGAAGTAGAATCATTACTTCCTATGACTTAAAGAAACAAAAGTTGTTTAAGTTTTATAGTGATGATGAACAAGAATAAAAATAAGAAAACATTGCATGAGACAAAAATTAAAGATTTTTTTAAATTTTTTAAGTAATCTAGGGACGCTTGGGTGGCTCAGTCAGTTAAGCATCAGCCTTCAGCTCAGGGTCCTGGGATCGAGCCCCACATCGGGCTCCTTGGTCAGCGGGGAGCCTCTTCTCCCTCTGCCACTCCCCCTGCTTGTGCTCTCTCTTTCACTGACAAATAAATAAAACCTTAAAAAAAAAAAATCTTTTTTTAAGTAATCTCTACCCCCAACATGGGGCTCAAACTCACGACCCTGAGATCAAGAGTCACAGGCTCGGGCGCCTGGGTGGCTCAGTTGGTTAAGCGACTGCCTTCAGCTCAGGTCATGATCCTGGAGTCCCGGGATCGAGTCCCGCATCGGGCTCCCTGCTCGGCGGGGAGTCTGCTTCTCCCTCTGACCCTCCTCCCTCTCATGCTCTCTGTCTCTCATTCTCTCTCTCTCAAATAAATAAAATCTCAAAAAAAAAAAAAAAAGTGTCACAGGCTCTACCGACTGAGCCAGCCAGGCGCCCCCCTCAAAATTTAAGATCTTGACCACATTTTGGTTGAGTGGATTCAACAAGAAGTGAATCTATAACTAGAATACGGCTAGCATCTACCATGAAGAACTGAACCTTGAAGATGTGCCTGAACATTCATCAAGGGGGCACCGGGAGTTGAAGGAGCATCATTGCATAAAACAGCCTGCACATCAGGTGGGGACAGCTTCTAACGATCAGCAAGCATCGGAAAATTGATGAATTTGATAAAATCATATCTGATGAAAACATTTTTCCTGAGCACACTGACCGTGCTGACGAAACCGCTCTTTCCTGGAGCGACATCCCTGGGAAAACCTCAACAACACGGGTGAGTGAGTGGAGAACGGGATAGAGCAACAGGCAAGGTATTCAAAAGGTATATATAGTTTCCCTGGGCTTTTCCGTGCAAATCGTGGGTGGGATGCTTGGGTGGCTCAGTTGTTAAGCGTCTGCCTTCGGCTCAGGTCATGATCCCAGGGTTCTGGGGTCGAGCCCCGTGTGGGGCTGGCTCCCTGCTCAGCGGGGAGCCTGCTTCTCCCTCTCCCACTCGCCCTGCTTGTGCTCTCTTGCTCTCTCTCTCAAATAAATAAATCTTTAAAAAAATAAAAATGCTTGGCAGGGTGCCCAGCTGGCTCAGTCAGTAGAGCATGTGACTCTTGATCGCAGGGTCATGAATTCGAGCCCAAGTTCAGTGTAGAGATTACTTAAAATCTTAAAAAAAAAAAAAATGCTTGGCCTTGATATGATGCATAACCACACTTTGACTATGAGAAAAACTAGACTCAAATTGAGGGACATTTTACAAAATATGCAACCAGCACTCCTCAAAAGCTTCAAGGTTGCGGAAGACAAGGGAAGACTAAGAAAGTACCACAGACTAGAGGGGACTCAGGAGACAGGATGATTAAATGCAGTGAAGTGTCCTCGACTGGATCCTAGGACAGGAAAAAAAAGGCCATTAGTGGGAAAATCGGTGAAATCTGATAAAATGGGGACGTTAGTTAATAGTACTATACCATTATGAATTTCTTAGTTTTGACAAATGTGCCATGGTTATTTGATGTTAGTGGAAGATGGGTGTAGGACACACGGGAACTCTGCACTATCTTTGCAACTTGTCTGTAAATCTAAGATTACTTCAAGATTGGAAATTTATTTTTAAAAAAGCTTGGCATGGACTTTGGCTTACAGTGATGTTTGAAACCAAATCTGTGAAGACTTTGAAGGATTTCATAGCACTAATGAGGAGACAACGTATGCCAAAAGTTTGTCAGCCAGATTATAAAGCCGACACCAATGAAATGTTCCACATCGACAGTGACCCTCCTGTCTTGAATGAGAATATTGCTCAAGTGGTGTTTTTTTTTTAAGATTTGTGTGCACAAAATTTTTTTTTTAATCGTGGTAAAATACACATAAAATTTACCATTTTTACCATTTTTAAGTGCACAGTTAAGTGGTATTAAATACACTCACATTGTTGTGCAACTATCGTCACTAAGCATCCACATTACTCTTTTCATCTTGTAAAATGGGAACTCTATACGTATAAACAACAACTCGCTATTCTTCCCTCCCCCCAATCCCTGGCAACCTTACAACTTCTGTCTTTATGATTTTTGACTACTTGAAGTAGCCTATAGGAGTGGAATCATACAATATTTGCCTTTATTGCGACTGGCCTATTTCACTTTGCATAGTGTCGCCCAAGGTTCATCCATATCGTGGCATAATGCAGGACTTCCTTTTTTAAGGCTAAATAATATTCCACTGTAAGGGGGTGCTGGGCTGGGTCCGTCGGTAGAGGTGCTGTGTGTGACTCTTGATCTCTGGGTTGTAAATTTGAGCCCCACGTTGGGTGTGGCGATTTCTTAAAAATAAAATGTTTTTTTAAAAAATTCCATTTTTTTGTATGTAGTATGTTTTACTACATTTTGTTTATCCATTCATCAGTCGATGGGCACTTGGGTTGCTTCCATATTTTAGCTACTGTGAATAATGCTGTTGTGAAAATGGGTGCATATTATATCTGAGACCCTGCTTCCAATTCTTTTGAGTACCCAGAAGTCTGACTGTATGGAATTGCTGATTACATGAGAATTCTATTTTCTTGAGGAAATGCCTTACTGTTCTCCACAGTGACTGCACCATTTTAACATTCCCACCAACAGTGCACAAGGGCTCCCATTTCTCTCCATCCTCGCCAACACTTGTTCTTTTTTATAGTAGCTAACCGAATGGGTGTGTGAAGTGGTTTTAAATATAGATAATCATGGGACGCCTGGGTGGCTCAGATGGTTAAGCATCTGCCTTCGGCTCAGGTCATGATCCCAGGGTCCTGGGATCGAGCCCCACATTGGGCTCTGTGCTCAGCAGGGAGCCTGCTTCTCCCTCTCCCTCTGCCTGCCTGCCTACTTGTGATCTCTCTCTCTCTCTGTCAAATAAACAAATAAAATCTTTAAAAATAAATAAAAAAATATAGATAATCATGAGGATAATAGCGCTGATGAGGATGAAATTGTAAACAGGTAGAAAAAACTTAGATGATACAGCGAAAATGTGTCATGAGTCAACAGCTGGGCTTGAACCACACATTTATCAATGTATGTGAGTTTATGGTAGTTTTGGTAATTAAAGAGAACTGCTTAGATGGAAACCTACATTAATGAACCATTGGGCATGGGGAGAAATCCTTAAAGAGGCCCCTATTAGAATGCTTCCCTAACCTAACTCCTGTGGTCACGGGGCCACCTCCAGCCTGCAGCTGGTGAGAGGCACTGAAGCTCCTCTCCTCTGGATGCTCAGGCAACCAGAGGTGATAAATGTTCATGGTTTGCATATGCACAGGCACATTTAGCTGCATTTGAACCTGCATGTATTTAAAGATTTATAAAATGTTTTCTTAGAAATAAGAATATTAGAGCATTCATAATCTATTTTTATCCCACTATTTCATCTAGTAATTTATTATTATTTAAATAAACTATACACTATTTCACTGTAGAAGTATTAGTATGTTTGATTCTGATTTGCTGCCTTAGGCCCTGCTGGAGCTGTTCTATAACATACAACGTTATATACATACTACCTTTCAAGAAATCTGAAAAGTTCTGAGTTCCAAAATTCCCCAGGCCCCAAGGATTTTGGAGTATAGATTGTAGACCCTATTTTAGCAAAAAAGCAAATAACACAGTTGTAGGAAATCATTCCATTGTTCCAGGTTAATATCCTTTTTGAACAATTTCTAATACCTGTCACTCTTGGCTATGCAGATTTCTATCTTTCCCTCATTGGATAAAGACCTCTGTTATATTCTGGCACTAATATGAAACTGATACTTAGTTTTTAAGCAGCAACACTGAAAAAGTTTAATCCTCTCTGGTAGTAATACTTCTAGTATTAGAGGTACTTATAAGATTATATAAAGCATGAGGGACGCCTGGCTGTCTCACTCAGAAGAGCATGCGACTCTTGATCTTGGGATCATGAGTTCGAGCCCCATGTTGGGTGTAGAGATTACTTAAGTAAATAATTTTTACAATATTATGTAAAGAATGAATTAATTTCTCCCTAATAATTCAGCATCGCCATTTTGAAGATGAATTATTCACTGTGAAAACAGGGCCTGGCTCCAGGCCATCCAGCTTGCTGAGTCCTTGTGTCTTCCATGCACCCCTGGGCTCAGACCAGCCGTCCCTCCTGTCTGTTGGCAGGGTACTGCCTGTCGTAGCCTCCCCCCCGGAATGTGCCAGGGCTGGAAAAGCTTACTTGGGTTGTCTAAAATAAGAACAAATGATCCAGTAAGAGCTTGAACTTTAGAACATCTGTTTTGGCTGCTCAGAGGTCCTTTTCAGCCCTTCCTACTTCTCAGCTGGGTTACTGACTGAGGTCCTGGGTAAATAACCCCCAGAGGGCCGAGGTGTCATCGTGAATCATTCTTACTTTGTAAGGATTAAGGAGGGAAATAGAGATTATCACCCAGATATTTTTTTCCCAGAGAGACACTAATCCACATCTTTGGTAGGCCAATGTCAAGTTGAGAACATTGGGATAACACACACTGGTAGCATTGCCAACACGTTTTGTGTATGTTTTAATATTCTGCAAATTGCTTGTGTAGAAGGAAAAAGAAACAGAAGGATTACAATGTAAGACATGCTTGTATACTTCCTTTAATCAAACACAGTGAGGTAGATATTATTCCCCTTTTAGAGATGAGGACTGAGGTTAGGTAACTAACCAAACCTCTTACAACTAGTAAGCGACAGAAACTAGATTATAACCCACCTGTCTATCTCTCAAACCCATTCTCTCAATTTTTTTCACTTTATTTCAAAAAAAAAATCACAATACCAATGCATGCTTGTTGTAACAAGTCCAACAACAGAGATGTTTTGATGTCTCAGGCCCCATTCCAATTCAAGATTACAAAATTTACTAGCTGAGATGGTATCCTGCCCCTTCTTTCTCCATAGTCATGTAATTACATAGACACACATATAAAGATTTTATTTTCCCCATTTCGTCAGTGTTGATCTGTAACTTTCACTACTGCTATATGCGCATGATAACAGTCAGAGCTTTCTCAGTCCACACGTGTAAGCCTAACTCCATTTTTAAAAGTAACTGCATGATACGCGCTGTACCACAGACAAACCACAATTTATTCAACACTTCCTGACAAATTCAAATTGTTTTTGGGCTTTTGCAATTACAAATAATGTTGTGGTAAACTTTTTCCTCATCTATAACTTACCAAATGGACCTCGTAGGGTTGTTGCAAGACTCAAGTGAGGGGGTATTCGTGAGAGCATTTATAAACTCTAACAGTGTTAAAACAAATGTAGTATAATATTCTTACTAAATCTGAGCCACTCACTTCCATTTCTTTGCTCAATTTAAACTTCACTCATCAAACACTTCAATCATTCATTCCATAAATATTGACCAAGTATTTGGGGCACCAGAGCTACCTTAGTGAATAGGATATTGGAAGTTACCTCATGGACTTGGACTTGAAAGTTCTTCTAATATCTGGATCAGATAAGGGAATCTGGGCACATGAATATTTTAGCAAGGTATGTCAAGGGTAAAGAAGCTGTATCCTGTACATATCTCTAGTAGAGAGATGAATTCAATAAATGTGTACAGAGCTCCTGTTGAGGCTCCATAGTGATCAGGCACTGTTGTGGGTATTAGGAGATTGAACACTGCGTGACACAGACCAAGTCCCTGGCCTTTTGGAGCTTACATTCTGTCAGAAGATTGAATCGGTTGGATGATACGAATCATATATGGAAGGTACAGCCAAAGGAAGGTATGAAGCCGACTGAGAGGTCGAAAACCTAGTTCTGGACCCGGAGCTTCTGACCTCTTGGCAACACTCCGTTTCCCCTTATCAGAACCAAAGGCATTATAAACTCTGACTCCTCACACCTCCTTTCTAATTCCAAGTCCTCAGAGCCTGGACACGTTAACAGTCTTTACCAAGGAGAGAGACGTCTGGGCAGGGGGATCATCCTAGCTCTTTTTCAGCCACAGCTGGTTGTCATGGCTTAAATAGATTTTTTTTTTTTTAAGATTTTATTTATTTATTTGACAGAGAAAGACACAGCGAGAGAGGGAACACAAACGGGGAGTGGGAGAGGGAGAAGCAGACTCCCTGCCGAGCAGGGAGCCCGATGCGGGACTCGATCCCGGGACTCCAGGATCATGACCTGAGCCGAAGGCAGTTGCTCAACCAACTGAACCACCCAGGCGCCCGACTTAAATAGATTTTCAAACAGCATTCATCCCTACGTTCTGCAGAAGTGTGATTCAGCTTTCCCCTTTTTACAGGTGCCTCTGGATCTGCCCCAGGACTTACCACTAGGACTCCTGTAGCTCCTAACGGACCACCAGCCCCGCTGTGAGCTCTTAAGGACCGATCATTATGCATTCTGCGGGGTATTCTACAGCGCACTGTGCTGGGCCCTCGCTTCTGGCATTTACGATATCTGAAAACTTAAAAGAGAAACGCAAATAACTCCGATATGCGACAGTCTAAGTAGATGCCACTGGATGAAATGAGATAAAGGAGCTCCGAGGAGGGAGCCATCGCTTCTGAGTTGAGGAATTCGGGGCACGAAGGCTGTGGTTCCGCTGAGAGTCTGCTTTGTGCTGCACACACAGCTGGACGTTTTACACGCGTTCTCTCACTTGATGTGGGAGGCTCCACGAAGGGCTTGCACTCTAAGACCCTGAGTGATGGGAGGAGTTAGGAAAAGCAGAAATGTAGTTTCAAATGAATATTTATTGACTGCCCAACGCTGGCCAGGCACAATGCCAGGTACCAGGCACCCAACGGCGAACAAGTGTGCATCCTGCCGGAAAGGGCTTTCAGTGGGGGATACAGACCGATACAGTAACCAGGCAATGACAGTGACCATACAGCGTGTTGTGTGTTACAACAGGTAAAAGCACCAGGGCGACAGAGAACAAAGGAAGGTGCTTTCGGTTGCACCTGGCAAAATTGGCTCCGTCTCTTAAGCTAAACTGTAATAGACTGGCTCATGCTATTAGGAACCTCAGGGTGGATCCAGGACTTAAACAAGGAAACCTTCTCTCTCTGCTCTCTGTGTCACCATAAGCTTTCATATTGCAGATGGGGGTGTTCCTCCAGATGAACATTGTTTGATACGGTAACCTCAGAGCAAGATGCAAGCTTCTTAGCTAGCTCTCAGGGAAGGAATACTCAGGGAGGGACTCTGGCCCTGCTTGGACCACTTGGCTTTCCTTGAAACAGTTGCTGTTGCCCACCGACGGGGCACCATGATTAACAAGCTCCGTTCGCCCACCTATCCCTGTTGGTGGATGATGGGTAGGTTCTGACACCAGAAGAAAGGGAGAGGGAGAAATGCCTGCTGGCTGAGTCACCAAAAACAACAGCTACCACAAAGAGGCTTCTGGAGGGAACACTGCAGTCATGGAAAAAGCAGGAATGCAGGGAAAGAAATTTGGATGCTGAGTTCCTGGGATGGTGAACAGACCAGTCTGGCTGGAGCTGTGGTCACACCTAAGAGCTGGGGGGAAAACCAGACTGGGGCGGGGAGGGCAGGGGAGCTCTGAATGCCTGACGAAGGACTCCAGAGCAGCCTGAGGGGAGCATGCTAACAGCTTTGTGCAGAATCTTTCCAGTTCCCCTGAAAATCATTCAGAGCTACGAGAATGAAGGCTTAAGACCACTACAAACTTACATTTTCGGTGAAATGAGGAAGTAAGAACAGTCACAAGCTTCCTACTGTGTGCGGCTTCATCCCTGCACCAGCACAGTGCCCTCCAACGTGCTCACAAGAGAGCCCAGAAACTGCCCAGGGGTCTGGGGGGGGGGGTGCAGGGGAGATGCAGGTCCCAGCAGTCCCCAGCGAAAATTCAACCCCCGCAGGAGAGGGCTCAGCCTGGGAAGGGCCATGAGCAGGACTAGGAAGAGGAAGAAAGCAATCACTCAAGTGCCTGCAGGACTCCCAGGGGCAGGGGAGGAAAGAGCGAGGAGCACGCTGGCGGGCAGGGCAGAACCCTCGGAGCCAGTGGCTCTGTCGGGGGAAGGAACCAGGGGAGCTTCCTACCGATCGTGGGAGCCCTCCTGAGCCGGGTTGGGATCCGAAATTCAGACGAGGTGCCGCATGGTAAAGAAAGTATACATCCCTGCAGTAACAGAGGAGGGAGCCCTCGAGCTGAGAAAGGAGGCAAGCTTCCCCACTCCCATCACAGAATTCTCTTGCAAACCGTTGGTTCTGAAAAATCCAATTCATGCAAAAATAAATGACAAAAAGTTGTGACTCAACATCCAGTCAGAGGCACCGTAAGAAAAACATCCGTACAAAGGCACTGCCCGAAAAAAAATCTGAAAAGGAGCAGCAGAACTTCCCTGCAGACTAGGAAAACTCATCAGAAAACTGTTGCCACGGGGGCAGAAGAAAAAATTTAATCAACATCCTATTATAACATTTAAAACGTGTCACCAGGCAATGGCCACTGCGCAAGAGGCTGACAGGGCAGAAATCACTCAAGAAAGGGATGGCCATGCAGCAGAAGGTCACAGACAACAGGAAGACCTGAAACAGGAACTGGGAGAGTTAGAAAAGAAGGGTAAGAAAAACACAACCGTGTTTCAGAAACCAAATTACAAGAAACACAAGCGAGAAGAGGCACCACTCTAGAGGACGCTGTGGAAAACAGAAGAAAAGTGAAGAAGATAAAGTAGAAATAAATAAAAATCATTACAGAAGCCATGATCGGGAAGACAGGCAGGCAAAGGAAATTGCACTAATGTAAAGTTAAGAGTCCCTGAAGAAAAAACCCTGAACAATGGAACAAAACAAATATTTTAATATATTGCTCAATTTTAGGTAGGGTTTGGACCTGGGATTGGATGGAGAGCTTGGCCCAGATCACAGACCTAAATTTAGGAAGCAGGTGGGAAGGAAGGGCTGGAAGTCATCTGCAGGTGTAGTAGCCTCCCAGGTCCGAGGGGCTCTACCCGCCAGGACACCCCCCGTGCCCCCCCAGGGGCCTCCCAGGGAGCTTCTCCCGCACTTGTGCCCTCCCCTCCCCCCAGAGGGAGCTCAGGAGAGGGGTGAGCAGCTCTGTCCCCTGAACCCTGGCTCTGCTCAGTCTCAACTACCTACAGAAGTAGAAGCCAGGGGAGAAGGAGTAAATGAGATAAACACTTCAGGAGAAGCTCCTTAGAAACAAGTCAGAAATCAGAGAACCAGAAAGCATAAAGATGAGTAAAATGAACGTGTATACATCACTCAGCTTTATAAAATCTTAACATTTTTACCGTGTTTGCTTCAGAAGATTTTAAGGAAATACAACTTTAACGATACAGGTGAAACCTATTACAAACCCCTCTGATCCCATTCGTCTTCCTGCCCCCATCCCGAGATACCACTACCCTGAAATCATCATCATTTTTGCAAAACATTCCTTTATGCTATTACTAAGTATGTATCAATAGCTATATGTAATACCTGTTTCACATGCTTTCCAACTTCATATAAATGGTATCATACTGAATGTTTCTATCTAAAATTTGCTTTTTTCCCATTGTATTTTTGAAAAGAGTCCATGTTGATACTCGTGCTCTACTTCATTTGAACTACAGCACAGCGCTCCATAATGTGACTAGAACCACAATGTGTTTACCCATTCTTTTGTTGATGGACCCAGGTTTTTTTTTTCAAGTTTTTATTCAAATTCCAATTAGTTAACATACAGTGTAATATTGGTTTCAGGTGTAGAATTTAGGGATTCAACACTTACACACAACACCTGGTGCTCATCACAACAAATTGGTGGTGGTTTTTTTGTTTTTGTTTTTTGTTTTTTCAATAAAACTGAAACACATACCTACTCTGTGATTCAGACATTCTACTCTTAGGTAACTACCTAAAAGGAGTGAATATGTTTGTCCACAAGTGTTCACAGCAGGAATGTTCAAATACATGAATGTGCACAGCACCTCTACGTAAAATAGCCAAATACTAAAAAATACACTGGTCTCTAGACCCAATGGAATACTAAGCAGTGAACAAAGTCCCAGTATACGCAGCAGCACGGATGAGAGTCAAAAACGCGTTAAGTGAAAGAGGCCGCTGGGATGCCGTATGTGTGTGTGGATATGCACACGTATAATGCAGTTTGTATATAATATGAAGTTCTAGCAGCGAACCAGTAAAACCAGTCTGTGGTGGAAAAAACTCGAAACAGTGGCTCCCTGATGGTGGAAGGTGGAAGGGGGGATTGCCAGGGAAAGGGAACTTTCTGGGGGTGGTGGTAATGTTTTATAACTTGACAGGAGTTCGGGTTACAAAAGTGTGTCCATTAAGAATGTATATGTAGCATTTGTACTTTTCATTTTAAGTAAGTTTTACCTCAAAAAAAAAACCACAACAAATATTGAACTCTTTTTTTTTTTTTTAAAGATTTTATTTATTTATTTGACAGAGAGATACACAGCGAGAGAGGGAACACAAGCAGGGGGAGTGAGAGAGGGAGAAGCAGGCTTCCCGCGGAGCAGGGAGCCCGATGCGGGGCTCGATTCCAGGACCCTGGGATCATGACCTGAGCCGAAGGCAGACGCTTAACGACTGAGCCACCCAGGCGCCCCACAAATATTGAACTCTTAATGCTAGGAATGCTGAAGTATTCAGGGGGAAATATACTGGTATCTTCAGTTTTGTTGGAAATGCACCCAAAAATAAGATGAAATAGTGGATAGAGGGATGGATAGATGGAGAGAACTATGATAAAGTAGGAATAGCAAAATGTTGGTGGAATTTAGGTGCTAGATATATGGGTATTCATTACAAATTCTTTCAACTTTAATAGGCATTTAAAATTTTCCTAAAAGGGGCGCCTGGGTGGTACAGTCAGTTGGGCATCTGACTCTTGGTTTCGGCTTAGGTCATGACCTCAGGGTCGTGAGATGGAGCCCTGTGTCATGTCAGGCCCTGCACTCAGTGCAGAATCTGCTTAAGATTCTCTCTCCCTCACCCCGCCCCATGCTCTCTCTCTAAAATAAGTAAATAAATCTTTAAAATTTTCGTAATAAAATGTAGGGGAAGATTTTAACATTTAATCTGTCCAAAACCCACTCTTGATTTCATTCTGCCCTAAAGCCACTCCTCCCTTCATCTTCCCAATTCCAATAAATGATAGCCATTCAGCTAGTTGTTCACTTTTGAGTTGGCCCTGTCGCATATATTGAATCCATCAGCACATCCTTTCAGCTCTACCTTCAACATCCATTCTGGATGCAACCAGCTTTCATCAACCCTACCACCCCGAGCCTGTTCCAAGTCGCCATCATCTCTCACCTGGATCACTCTAGTCTACTGACTGATCTCCCCTCGGAGTCTATTTCCCACCCAGCAGTCCCACGGGCCATTTTTAAATGCTCCTTCCTGCTGCCTCTTCTCCCTCCCTCCCTCACTACATTCCAGCCATACTGACCTCCTTGTTGTCCATTAAATAAGCCAAGCTCCTCTGGACTCCCTGTTCCCCTGCCTGGAATGTTCTTCCTCCTTATCTGCATGGCTTGTTCTCTCACTTCACAGTTCTCGGATCAAATGTCACACCAATTAGTATTCCCTGATCATCTAATACAGCACCTCCCAGCACATTATGCTGCTTTTATTTTTCTTCTTATTACTATCTGACGTATGTTTGTTTTCTACACCCCTTAACTAGAATTAAGCTCCAAGGCAGCAGGAATTTTCGTTTGCTTCACTACTGTGTCCTAGTGTTTGTTGAATTAATGAATGAAATAGACAAAATGTCACCACCTCTGTGAGTCCTTCCCAATTCACTCCCCACCCCCTACAGCTTAATAGTCCCCTCTATCATATTACTTTTTTCTTTTCTCTACTGCTTAATGATAGTTATTTGTTACACGTTGATCCTGTCCCCCTACCCCAATAGATATATAGTAAGCTCTTGCAGATAGGGGCCATTTCTTGTTAACTGTCATATCCCCTGCTGTTAACAAGAACAGTGCCTAGCCCAGAGCAGGCTGATCCACCCTGCATCTACCTGCCAACCTCAGCCTCTACCTGGAGCTTCTGGATTTCCAACACTGCCCTGTTTATCCCTGTTCTTTCTCCTTGTGGAGTTACCACAAACCCTTCAGGAGCTGGACCGGCCATTTCTAAGGGGCTCTAGCTCCCACACGTTAAGATGCCTTTCTTCTCAAGTGCACCCCCCACCCCAGCCCCCAGGGTGGCTGAAGGCAGCTCCCACAGAGCCAGGCTCTCTCCGCCTAGACTCCTCGGCGCTTCTGGAATCCCAGATGCCAGAAACAGCTTGCCTCTAGAGGGCAGCACTCAGCCATGACCCTGCTGAGTCCTCCAACATGCCCCCTGCAAAGGGAGTGGTCCCTGGAGTCTGGTTTAGGAGGGCTGGCCAGATGGGCACACTTCCGCTGCCCCCTCCATTCATTCCACAAAGGGGACTACGGTTGGCCAGGCACGTGGGTGTCAGTTCCTGCCCCCAAGGAGCTCCTGCATGGGGGAAAGGAGGAAGTGGGAAGAAAGGAGTGTAAAGAGCCCCGCCTCAGAGCAGGACAGCTTTCTGGAGGAGGTGGTGTTTGAGTGGTAATGGAGCCGTGGGAATTAGTTGAGGGAAGGCAGCAGAGGGAGGAATGAGAAGTGTAAGTACAAAGGTCCAGTTGAGAAGGGCAGGGGGTGTGTAGAACAGCCCTGCAGTTGGACTTCCCAGGTGCAAGAGGCTTTGTGTGTTACGGGCTCTGGCCTTTACCCCAAGGCAATCGATAGCAGGGCGGCGGCGGTGGTGTGGGCAATTCTGCGCTTGAGAAAGAGCTTTGGGGGTGCCTGGGTGGCTGGGTGGGTTAAGCGTCTGCCTTCGGCTCAGGTTGTGATCCCAGGGTCCTGGGATCAAGCCCTGAGTGGGGCTCCCCGCTCAGCGGGGAGTCTGCTTCTCCCTCTCCATCTGCCTCTCCCCCAGCTGATGCTCTCTAGCTCTCTCTCTCTAATAAATAAAACCTTAAAAAGCAAAAGAAAGAGAGCTTTGGCAATACATTGGAAAGCCGATCAGAAAGGGCAACACGTGTCAAGAGAACCAGCTGGGAGCTCACTGTACCGAGGAGAGATTGGGAGTCCTACTGAACTAAGGCGGAGGAAAAAAGAGGATTGATTTGGAAATGACCCGGTGGTAACTGGAAACAGCACAGCACAGGAGTGCTGGAGTCAGACTCCCCCGTGGGTCCTGGGCAAACTACATCTGTGTCTCACCTGTGAAGCGGGGATGACAATAATAGCACCTGCCTCATAGTGTTGGTGGAGGACGGCAAGGAGTTAATACGATGGAAAAGCTTAGAGTAGAGCTTAGCACCTCACCCTGCTCGGGAAGTACTAGTTATAATTACGAGGCTCAG